CAACACCGAGAGCCGTGTCGCGCAGCCGTAAGATAAAACAACGTCCATGAAAATGAGATACGAACGAACGCTTGAGATTGTTTGCGCACATTGCCTCGGTTTCGTATTACCATTTCGTGACGAGAGCGATTTTGCGCCAGAACATCGAAGTGAACACAGCAATCGCTATCGACGTGAGCATCACATGCAGAAGACCGTGAAAATCCGCACGTTTTTATGTTTCCCATTTGCTGCCAACTGCCATGATTGTTTTTGTCCTGTGTCTCGGATTTCAATCCGTCCAATCCAATCGACGATTAATTAATCAAACAAAGCAATGAAAACAAACAAGTAAAAAAACACACCGCCCAGGCAATATTTAAATCAATCTAATTTTAAATATGTCAGTGTTTAACGTAAGCAAATTATACTTTTTAGTTTAGCTACGTGGTATAAAATACAAGTTTGTTTTAATTAATTTGTCCAGTCGAGTTTGGCGCGTGTAATACTGAAAATTGTGTCGGAATTGTTAATATACGAGATGAATGTATAAATACTGCATTGTATTAGATTGCTGGCTGTCGCACAATTAATTATGAAAATATAATTTCGACAAACGTACACGAACTGTGCAAAGTTTGAATACGTTTTCATTAGTCAAAATTCAGACAAATTAAGGTCACTCTACTTTAAATTATTGTGTGGTGTAGATATTTATTATATTTATGTTAAATATCTCCAGATGTATCACACAGTTCATGATACAAGATATCCACGTACCTGCAATCGAGTAAACCACGTAGGCAGCGTCAGAAGGGATGAGCGGACGTGTAAAGCACCCTTTTGCCATTGGCACATCGTTGCCACCATGTTTGCTCTGCGTGGTAAATGGAAAACGTTGGCGATGTTTGCATCCATCGCGCTCGCCGTTTCACTGTTTGCTGTGCAGATCGCATCTTCATTCTTCATATCTAGTCGGGTAATAATCACACAATTGGAGTACCCACAACAAATCCGGTTACAATATCTACAATCAAACTTTGTCAAACACAATTAAATACAATAAATACAATGATGAATGATATACGGTACGATAAAATACAATAAACTTGTAGAAATTGCTAAAAAGTGCAATGAAGCGGAATGGATTGCAAGGTTATATTGTATTCAACAAAGAAAATCAAGATTGAATTCATTCAGTTGCAATAACATTCAAAACATTTGTTTTAATCAAAAATAACTGAAAAAGATTTTATTTACTTATACCAAAATTTTTTGTCTGGGATGATGGAAACATTTTATACCTGATTATCTCCTCCTGAATAACAGCATAAAAATTATAGCCGGAAGTCAAATATGAATTCATTTTGTCGGGATGGAAATCAAGTGCAAACGCGATGTAAACGTTTTGTTAAGTTACATCGGACAAGACAATAATTTTTATTATGTTTGCACACCGACTTAACCATACCCGCCGGGTTTGATAAAATAATAATCACATCCTTTGTACTCAGGCTAAATGCATAACTGGTAATAACTTCATACTATATAATAAAATATGGTACGATAGTGCTGCACGCTGTTCTATATGAAAAGCAAATAGAGGCAATATTAGTTACAAGTTACATAATCGACCCCTCAAGGGCAATTCGGGGGCAAGTTGCAATCTATTGTGCTGCAGACTTCCTGATGCTGAAATATTTGTTTGAATTATGTATTAACGTTAACAATATTTCGGTTGCATTGGGAGGTTTCGCATTTTAAGCTTTGATTAATAATAAGTGTGCATAACTGAGTAAACATAATTTCTATGACTACCAAAAATTGATATTTCAGTGTATTTCGATTATACCTGCATATTACTGTTGCAAGCCGTGCAAATGTAGGTATGTTTGAAATGTAGTTAACCCGTTTTTGATGGATGCACACAGCCTGTAGCGTTGAAACGTACGCACGACGCGAGGAAAACAAATTAACTGCACGTGAACATTGAACATGTCAGGATGATGAGTTTTGCGCCGTGTTGCCGAATGTGAGCTAATTAGATTTAATTTAACATGAAGATATTTTGTGAAATGATGCATTTCATAAACCAATAAAAATGTGCTGATGATTATTTTATCATTGCCCGATTTCGAAAAATCAAATTAATATTCTTTCGTTCTATTCTTATACCAAACCTAATCCGACAGAATTCGTATTTTGTCCGCTGGCCTTTCGGTCATGTTGCATCAGCAACATCCACGAATATCATCCTATAGGATGATATAGGTAATAATCAATTTTGAGCTCATAGAGTTTGTAGAGTTTCCCAGATTCATGACAACGTGAGCAACTGAAATGACTAAAACGAAGAGAAAACCATTCCCACATGACCCACGTAAACTTTGAAGGCCTCAGTGGATCAGATAGCAATATCACCTTTGACATACACCTAATGCAGAGATAAACTAATTATTTTTGGTAAAACACCAATGGCACGCCAGAATTGATCATGGATTAGGAAAAAATGAATAAGAATACTTTTTATATTTATTTTTAAGGATAATAGATTCAGCAACAAGTGCTATTGAGGATACATGTTGAAAACACATAATTTAATTAAAACGGATGTTTATCGTCTCTCAATCTTCACGTTTTTTGTTGCTACAAACTCGTTGACGTTATTATAAGCAGCAAGAAAAATGTGCGATTAAAAAATTAATGGAAACCTGTCCCGGCATTCCCTATCTTTTTTCCTCCGTCTCTATATCTTCCTTTTTTCATGTAGTTTTTGAAGAAAAAACCGTGTGCGAGTAATTTCTCTCTAGCGTTTTTCCTGGAACAACTTTCGCTTGACGATCTAATCTTGGTTGTAAGCGGCTCAAGCGGGGCTTCTTTTTCTCATATTAAGCTGCGAAAAGGTGGCGAAGTCAAGAGCTTTATAAATTACAGGCGGTTTTCATTAGTGCTCGCCCGCTCGCCCTAAATTCCCGTGGTGGATACCGAAATTTACATTGACGAGAGAATTTTATTAATCAGCTCTCATGAAATATACATTACAGCTTTTCTATAGGAAAATATGAATATTAAGTTACTTTTTAAAAAGTTACCTAATTAGAAAACTAAATTTAATCAGTAAACAATACGGATTGTTGAATATTCGGTGCATTAATAGATCATGAGCTATTCAGTTGTTTTGCTCTTCATGCAAAGCCAGTAATTATATCAATTGACCCACGCTGTCATAACAATTAGTGAATACGCGTCAGAAGCCTAAACAAACAAATAGCATCAGTCAATCAAATACCAAATATCGAAATTTCGACTGCCTGCCTGGGATAATTGAGTCAACGTAATTAAGCCTCATGGAAATATCTGAGTAGTAAAATTGAATTGCCTAGTTAGTTTGGTTCACACTTTCATAAAACCCGATTCATTTATGGCTAGAATTTCAATTCAACTAGCTTTATGTTTGTTCAGTCATTTCTATAAGTTTGTTATTTGTCTCCTTCTCGTTTCATATTTATCTTGTTCGGGAATTTCATTAGAATAGCTGTTGTTGTCACGGCGGGTGTTGTAAGGACGAATAGAATGCACCAATTTGATGCTACTTAAGTACTTTTCTTCGACACTCACTTACTCGGCATCGTTGGAAACAGTGCGAGCCAATTTAAGCTTCGGCAACGAGGCGAAACAATGAACGAAGAGAAACCGCGAGATTCGGTCATTAAACATCCTGAAAAGTTCGCAAACGTTGCGAAAGTTGCTCCATTACGGATTTATTTTATTGTTGCAATTTAACAACGAGTGGCAAACAGCACTTTGAGGATCTACGCAGTGGCACTCTTGAAAATTATATATGGTAAAACGGAAACATATCATACCACAATACCACAAATTGAAACTGATAAAATCGAACAAATTTTATTTTATATTAATATTTTTTATTTGGTTTACTTCGCATAGTTCACATAGAATTACAACGTCACATGAACATAACATACACACACGTTTGGCAGACACCAAATATTTATTCACGTGATGGTTGATAAATATTTCGAGCCTGCATTTTATAAAAATAAATCGCAAACATAAATTATTCATCATAAGTAATCACAACAGTAAAAACACGTCTCTATATACGATTTTTTTAGAGTAATACTAAAAGTGTTCTTAGATAAATATTTTTAGTAATAAAGAATGATATAGTCCTTTATGATTAACAACCCAATTCATTATACATATAATAAATAGTTTGTATGTAAAATTGATGAGACATGTTTCACTCAAATATTATCACAGCGTCAAGAGAGAAAAGATTTAGAAATAGTAAAATTAATTTTATCTAGTTACTTTAGTTGAAGAACATATTAAAATAATTAACAGATATTACAATAATTCATTTAGTTTACTTTTTACTTTTCTTTCCGTAAACTTTTTTGATTTTCATTTATATTTTGCTTACATATTTTATTACATATTTTTATAGATATATTTTATACTTATTTGACTAACTTTTACTCATATTTTGACTTGGTTTGTCAAAAATAAGCATTATTATTTTATGCAAACCTTGTTGGTTGAATCATTTACATATTACAAATATATTGTACATTTCCTTGTATAGTTTTATAGAATTCTACTAAAATTTACATTGTTTAACTTTTAAGAAGTGATAAAGTTACAAAAGAAAAAGTAAATTCAAAATTAATAAATTTTTATGTTTATAGTTGTTTTTCTAAAGAAATTAAAGTTAAATTATATATGATTTATGCAAATCACATTTTTCACTATTATAAATAGATTACTTTATGATTTCAAACAAACAAATAAATGGTGCCCATAAACCAGCTATCCAGCAGCTAATAGTAGTTAAAAGCAAAAAATATTATTTTATTTTGAATCTATATATTCAATATATCATTTAGTAGTTATTCAACTCCAATCGCTATCAATTAGCATGATCTATGAATAAAGTTAGAAGAAGCACATTTGTATACAATGCAATCCAAAAACAACGTATATCTACCTCGTATAACTTAATAAATATATTTAATTTATACTTATGATATGTTGTTAGTAAATTTTTCTATATCTGAATTCGTTGCATTAATAAAAACTGCAAAATTGATTTTTTTGCTATTATAAAAATAACAATGAATGAATGCTTTAGGTGGTGTTAAGATATCCGAAAAGAAAATCTTTGAGCGTCTAACATGCAAGTTTACTCGGTCAAAACGAATAACTTTTTTGAGGAAACCGTGCCGACAATGGCAAGGACTTTGTCCTGAAACCACGTCGGATCGATATATTCGTGGCTATGAAAGTTTTCTCGTTAAAATTTGTTTTGTCCCGGCATGGCTGGCGGACTGCTTTACTTTTTCCTTTTGATAAAATACCTACAGAAAAATCTGATTCGGCAAAATCATAAATCTGTTTAAATTCAACTCAATATAATAGTTATATAGCGATATGAATACCAACATATCATTTTAAATATAGATTTTCAATTCTCGTTAGTATTATATTAGTTTATTTATAAGTTATGACACTCGATAGAATACCTTGTTACAAATGGTTCATTTGCATATAAAAATTTCCAGTTTTCATATAATTTTTATACATACTCCATTTCAAATTTGTATAATAAATTCTTTTGCATAAATTTCACTCTTCTGCGTTTATTTATCAATTTATATAGTTTAGCGATATATTATATGCTCAGTGAGTGTGTAAGTTAATAGATATACTTGTATGGATGTGTTGCGTCACTTTGCGGAGCATGATAGCAAATATTTTACGAGTAAATTCACACACGTTTAAACAATTACCATATCGATTAGACGTTCATTTTTAGTACTTTAGTTTTGTTTGTTTGTTTTAAAGCTGGACCGCGCGCGCCGTTCGATAAATATACATTCCTTCACAATGGCATTTGACTTCACTCTAGAGCTACCGAACGCTAGATGGCGTTACACGCAAAACAAAATTGAATCACACACTATCTGTTGTTCAATAATTCCGGTGAGTCAAATGCACGGTGAAGTGTTATCGAGCGACATTTGTTACCTAATAAATTAAATAACGACGTTAAAACCACGTTGATACCGAAAATCTTACACGAATTGACATAAAATACGATTTGATAATTATGTCTCTATACAAGTCTTAAAATAAGTAATGAAAACGTAAAAATCCTCTCGAAAAAACTGCGAAAGTTTAGTGCGCGTCAAATCGCATTAAAATTAATTAAATTCCCACGTTCCTATGTCTTTTTGGTTTTCCCTTCTTTTGTTTGCCTAGTTTTCCACTCGGCGGTCCAATTCTGTCGTTTTATTTCTGAATCTGCGCTTGCTTCCCCGCATATTAATTACTCGCAGTCCTTCTCGCTCTACCGAATTAAATATGTTTAAGTTGGGGACTCTGGTTTGCTCAATGCAAAATGCGATATTTGTCTTTTCATTTTAACTACCGCCGCAGTGGACCGAAAGAATATTTGAATAGTTAAACAAATTGCGCGCCGCTAGGATAAATTATAAGTTGGGAATTGAGTTCTGCGATTATTAATGGAACTTTTATGCAAATTGCATTTAATTCGCGGTTGTTTGCAAGTCAAGTGTTGGCAATCATTAGAGATGAAAAGAATGCAAATCACAAACCGACAGAAACTTTAATTTACCACATCGAAATTAATCCTAAATAGTTGTTCAGCAGCTGAAGACAATAATTTAGCTTACGTTTTATGTTACTGTCTTTTAAGCTCTGGTTATATGCAAGTAACACGTATACAATAAACAACACACAATAAATATACAAATTTAACGCGTTTTAATGTCAATTACAGCATTTTTGTATTAGTTCTACATTATTGTATCCTTCACACTTTGGTTATTTATTTGGTTCATAGAAACCATTTAAAAGTTTAAGCGTTATGTGTTAAAATCTTCAAGACTATAGCTTTAATTCATTTAGCGGAATTTGAAGTTTGCTTTTTCAGCCACTGTAATTGACAAATTTTTCGACATCTGAAGAAACAAGTTGGAATTAAAGCAAAGTTTCCAAGCAAGTATGCAATTAGGTATGTACAGTACATTTACATTGACGCAGTGCAATCAATAATGCATTTTAAAGTATTTAAAAGTTTTTGCTTGATCGCGTTGTTAGTATTTAATGCTGGTCTCAATATAAAACGTCAAATTGGAAGTACCTCGTCAGACTTTTCAAATCTAGCCAGAAGCTAGTTGTAGCGCATTTGTCTCCTCACCTGGTTCAATGATATCCTCTCGGCATATCCCACAACTCGAAGTTCTCCGGTAGACTGCTATCGCTAGCACCTTGGGTTTTCTCATAGCGCATTCGCTATTTGTATGAGCCGGCAGGTCCGAGCCATGGGCAGCCAAACGCTTGACATCCGGCGAGGATAATTACCAGCAAAACAACCACGCCGGCAATCGCGTAAATTATGAACAGATGCACAATAGCGAAGACGTAGAGAGTACGATGGCACCAACGATTTGGTTCGAAGAGTGTGGGAGCGTAGTCGGGCCACTTGATGCGAAGAATCCAGTAGTTACCCAGAGCGAACCATACGAGAAGGAAGATGGTTAGCGCAAGGGATAGGATACGGGATCCTATGTTGGAGCTGTTTGTGGCTCCCGCTGCGGCTAGCCGACGAGTGTACAGTTGGTCCCAGAGAATCCACGCCATCTTTAAACATCCCACCGTACCACCTACCAACATGTAGATGGGGATGTATTGTTCGCGGGGACAATCACGCAGGAATTGTGCTCCTGAAAATCAAAAATTTGAAATATTTAGTATAATAATTTATAAAGTAAACGTATTTATTTATTTATTTTGCTCAGAACTCATCTGGAATAATCAATTTTCAGTCTAGAAACAGATAAGATCATTATTTAATTAAATTTCCTTTAATTGAACATATCTTCAATTATTTCAAATCAATTTTTGATTGACATTCGTTTTCAGATATGAAATTACAACAAAGATTGACGCTTGGTAATAAAAAAAATAAATTACTAGATTTGATTAATTTTGATTTTAATACATATTATTATGCGAATATGATAATATCCGCTATAATCTACTAGTTGAAAATCAAGAATGCTGAATGTGAATAAAAATGCCAAAAGTGTTTTGTATTCATGCGCGCCCTCGCGAAATATTGCATATTCAACGGCCGTTGTCGCGCCCGTGCATCAAGCTTCGGACGCGTGAATGCATAAAACATAAAACAGCAAACAGAAAATGTAAAACAGAAAGCTGAAAACGGAAAACGGAAAGAAGCAAAACCCATCCACGTAGATGGTGCTCGTGTTCCAACGCTTCCCTCAAGAGGAATTGTCCAATTTTATATTGTGGCGCATGCAAATGCAATCTTTTAATCCGTCAAATCAAAAAACAGCGAAAACAATGTTCCGTTCTGAAAATAATAACCATAATCAAAACACAAACAAACCGCACCACATAAAACATGTCAAAATAAAACGGAAATATTTATTTCGTGTTTTATTTTATATCTTTGCTATCATTTTGATTATTATTGCTTTTCAAGTTGAAAGTTTGTACATGATAATTCAGTTCGTCGATCATTACCACTGTAAACTATCACGGTTATTTTTATATATCCTTTTGGCAGCATTGGAATGCTTTTAAACATATTTTCTGCCAGTGAAAAATTGGATCCTTTATAAAATCCCTTAAAATTTATAATAAAACATTAATTTAAAATTTTAAAATAAAAATAAAACAAATACTTTTCTAAAAGGACAAGCAACTGGATATATTTTTAATCTCTGTGCTATTCCGGTATATATTTCATTAATGAATCGTTTTATAGGAGTACAACCATTTGATTCTTTTCCGGTGTAAAAAGAAACGTAGTTTTTTCCATCCGTGGAAGCAGCAAATATGTAGGTAATCTAAAGTGTGATGTTATAAATTATGATCGCACATTGGAAAAGACCTACTGGTTTTGCAGGATAATCCGTAACTGTACTGTTTATCACAATTTCGGTGAAAAGATTGTCTTGCACTGTACCATAAAAATGTGCAGGGCGTTCTTTTGCATCACAATCACCAAAATCTTTGAATTGAATATTGGAATTTGCATTTCTTATTATATAAAAAATAATAAAAATTATCTAAAAAGTTAAAAGTTATTTTATCATTGTATATTTAATCATGTGTGTATAAATACCATAAATGTGGTGAGTTTTAAAAATTTCTCCATGGTGTAAACAATAGTGGAACAACAATAAAGGCCGAATGAAATAATATGTATGGGCATAGTCATAATTTTTTAACTGTGTTTAATTTGCTGAATTGTTTTTAAACATTAGTCCAATCTAAAGCATTAATCAAGATTTAGAAAAATGACAATTTAATGATATTTTAATGTATACCTATATGAATTTGAAAACAACCTTGTTGTTGTATATTTTTATCATCATATTTTGTTTTGTGTTTTGCGCAATAAGTTTGCTTGCATTTATACGAGTGTAAAATCTAGATTTATGTTCAAATCAGAAATGCGCATGGAAGCCGTGAGGTGCAAATTACGCTGACTTGGAGGAATCTCTTATTTCTCATTAGTCGTCCTCTCGGTATGAATGCAGTTCGTTGCAATTTGGCACGACAGCACTCGACAATGTCGACAATGAGCACTACGGTCCAACGCTTCGAGAACTTGCATCCGGAACAGCAAACATCCTGAATATTAATGTGATGAAATACCTTCAATTGCCAAAAAACAGTCAACAGAAAACGTAGCAGGAAATCAAAATGTAAATTTTTGATACTCAACAATGCTACGTTTTTGGCAAAACACGTTTTAATTTGTTTGAACTTGAACTTTCACCCTCAACCAGACGACCGAGTTGCCGCCGCACAAAAAAACATAATGCCAAAGCGAATGGAATTTCATATCTAAACGCGTCACTTTTCAAATGAAAACCGCACAAAACCGCACGTGTCGATGCCGACGATTATTAAAACCGCAGCCTGCGAGGCTATTTCAGTTCTGGTTGCTTTCAAGCTTTTGATGAATATTGAGAGAAACATTCCAAAATTCAATTTGTCAGAAACTTTTACCCCCAACAGACCCTAAAATAATAATCCCTTTATAATTTTCTAAAAATTAATAAAAAAATTAATTCTATTGTCCAGAAAATAATTTGTTATTAAAACTATGCTTGTAATTTATGCATTAGTAGATAAATTACGTATAATAATTCATTTTTGGAAGAAAAATCAACAATTTTAATCTAAATTAATAAGAAATTTAACTCCAATCTAGTCATGTTTCATAATCATTATATCCCCAGTGTAATTTATTTAACCAAGGCGAAAACTGCGTGTTATGGGGTACTAATGAATCTCGCACACAAAAATAAATCTCGTAAAGTGAGAATTTCTCCGCGAATGCTACCGGAATGAATGATTGTTTAATGGTTTGATATTTTAAGTCGAGCGTTTTATCGCATGGTTAAACCCACTGCACGATTTCCTAACTACGTGGATGTAGATAAAGGAAAACGCAGGCGACGGCGACGTTATCGGACCCCGGCGCGATAAACGAGCACGCCATTCGGCAACTACTCGCTTTAGTTCCACCAACCAACCAACGAACCAATGTAAAACAGCTTTTGAATCAAAGGTAAAAGTAAGGCGTACTGCGTATTTATAGTACTCACCCATGATAAGCATTAGCAATGGCAGAGTTGATAAGAAGACCAGTACCACGGTAACCACAACTGAAACCACAACACATCACGTAACCATGAGTTTTGGATTTTGTGCTACTCTAGTGATTTTAATACCTGTTTTGTTGAAAATCTGCAGTGCTTTGAAGATGAAGTCGCATGTATCGTTGGCTTCCAAATTGGCGTCTTTGAGCTGATACGCCACTGATCCGTAGGTTGTTAGGGTGAGTCCGATTCCAAGACCAGCTTCGCCGTCACCATAATTCTTTTCCGAAAACAAACGTTTTGTTCATCACCAGACACCTGCACAGACCCAGAGAAAGAAAGCGGGCACGCGGAAAAATACTAATCAGTCCTGGTCATCTGATCATCGTGTGAGTGGCATGATCAATGTTCGGTCATAGATGAACATGCATCGAACGTCAGACTGATTTCTTTCACGCACAATAAGAAGAACAAGAAAGCACAAGAAAACATTTATCAGCACATTTAACACCAACAACAACACGAGATTAAATTTAATGATTAAACACGTGTAAATTGATAATCAATAACTTATAAAGTTAGTTCTAATGTAGTAGTTGTGTACTAGTACACGTAGGTGTTTGATGCGGTGGGAAGATCAATAATGCGAATTAAATTCAAAGCCGACACGAGCATTTTGACGTGCCGGAACGAAGGGGAATGTTTTTGTACGTAACGGGCATGTCAAGTGTGGGAAGCTCTCATGGAAATTGTTTGATTCGATGCGGTGTTGTTCGGGCTAAGTGTGTTCCGTTGTTTGCACGGCAAGACGCCGCTTGCAGCGAACGCAAATTGCGCGAAATCCGGTGCGTTTGCAAGCGATTTATGTGTGTATAAGCGCGCAGCGAAGCAACTAAGGATAAATTTATTTTCAGGGAAGCGCACAATTGATTTTTCGATGCGCAGTTTAGGAACAGGCTCCAAGGGAAGTAGATAGTTAGATTTTCTTGGAAACTCAATCTGTGAACTACGGCGCTAACAAACTATAAATATATTTATATAATACCTAGTATAATATCTAAATATACATCAATTACAACAGAAAGGTTTTGCAAGAATGTAGAGTAAAGTGAAGTGCTTTTATAGGCATTTTATAAAAGACGCAAGGAAAAGATAATTACCTGACTAACCGAGCTGCTCGCTCTCCGTGAACCGCTTTCGTTGCATGTGGTTTGGCTCTGGTTGTACCCTTGATTGAGGTTCCCTCGAGAGGACCTGTAAGGAGAAGCGCTGCGTCCTTTTTGTCCTAAATTGAAAAACGTATGCATAATTAATAGTATTATTTCATTTTAGAGGTAATCTTGTTATAACTTACCATAATCAGTACTATATCTCCTTGGATATTTAGAGGGTGGGTCTTGAAAGGTCAAGGTCAAACTCCCCCTTGGACTCCTGTCATTTCTATCGAGCATATCGTTGGATCTGTCAAATTTATTGTTTTTGTTCAGGCTGCTCAATGGTTCTCTATGATTTCGGCCGTCGCCTGCAATACTGCCTCTTGGACTGCGATCGATGTACTCGTTGGCAATGGACCCTCTTGGGCTTGTTCTGTCTGTTCTATCCCGATCAACAGCTATACTCCCACGTGGACTTCTATTTCCATCTGGTACTATACTATGCCGGGGACTCCTGTTCATGTTTACAATTTCATCGGGACTACCAGATCCCCAATTCATCTGGTCTTCGTTTAACCTGGAGTTTCTTGCCTCTCTTGTGCCATCTGGCAGTAGACTGTTTCTTGGACTCCGGTTAAAATCCAAATTCAATCTTGACCCATTTCCATCTGGCACTAGACTATGCCTCGGACTTCGACTCATTGACGTTTGATCTGGAACTAGACTATGTCTTGGACTTTTTGACACCTCAGGCACAAGACTGTTCCTAGGACTGCGATTGTAGTGTCCATCGGGAACTAGACTATTTCTGGGGCTGCGAGAATAGTCACCCGGCACTAGGGAATGTCTAGGACTTCGTGAACTATCTGGGACCAAGCTGTTTCGTGGAGAGTGGCTGCGCGCAATAGGCACGTCAATGTCTTCGGTTGAGGAATTGCTGCGAGATTCTAGGGATATATCGGGAATGATAGAATGCCGCGGGCTTCGACTCATCATTTCTGGAGCAAGCATGTGACGCTGGATGCGTTCGCTGTCTACTGGGGAAACGGCGATACTTGCTCTGCGCCCTGGGCTCACTGCTGGAGAGGTCGGAACACGGGTCGAGCGAACCGGCTGTGGAGACGATCCGCCACTGCGCGAAGCGCGTCTTCGACGGGAAGGACTTCTAGCTATCATTGTGAATGTGCAAACTGCAGACGATTTTTATATTCGTTGGTTCATCTGAAAAGAAAAAGAAAATTACTGTCATTGTATAAGTTACTGTCAAGCAATTTATGGTATACTAAAATCTAATTCTTATATAAAATATAATGTTTCCTTGTGTGAGCATAAGGCACATTCTAACAAATTCTATCCATATGGTTGAACATTTCTTCCACTTTACGCGCACAAATCGCCAAATTGCAGAGCAAATCGAAAGCGATTACATGTTAAAGTAGCGGGAGAGCCAGCATGTAAGATGCTGAAAAAGTTTTCGCGAAGAGAGAGCGTCATGGAAATTCGCCAAGGCTTACAGAAGCAGTCGGAAGCACTTTATAAGTAGTTGTGATTCCAGAATACCAGTCTGAGAGAAGTCGTGCGAAATAAGCTTCGATTCTGCGATTTTCCCGTTTGCGCTCGTGCGCGTTTTATACTTTTATGCAACCAAAGAAAGAAAAACGGTGTACAAATGAAATGTATATTTAAAGAGTAAGTGCCCGTCATTCGCATTGAAAATTTCTATAGTTTCCATTGAATTTCCCTATAAATAAATAATTCGAACTTTTTGAACATGTATGAATTCCAAGTTAAATGTTCGATTATATTTCGTTTTTAAAAGTTGAATAAAACATATTTATTTGTAGAATACGCTTCATTACATTATATAATATAATACTAGGGTTTCATTATATTGGAACTCGTGACACAGCTTTAGTTGGATTTTAAGAGTGTTCATGAAAGCTTACCCAACCTAATTTATTCAAGCGTGACACGCAATAAAACTTCAATCTCGTTTTCAATCCCTCTCGGTCGGCTGCAGACGTGCTTTGAATATCAGCAGCATGGTTTATGCTTACCGTGCCGTGTGTGTAAATATCTGACCGGAAACGTCAAAACAACACGGCCACGACGCAATCTTTGCGAGACCGCAAGCGCCGTCTATGGTGTGCACTTCACAAGTGCGTCGTGTTTCAGCGTGTCGAAGCTTTAATTAAACGTCGACTCACAACCTGCAAGTGCACCGCAACTCTTAAACCCTGCTTCAGACTCCTAAGAGAGGAGAATGCGAAGTAGTGGTGCACTCACCAACAAACGGTCTGTAAAGGACAACATGAAAATGGAAAATTCCAGTAGGTGATGTTCGACCGCATTTAGATGCGATGCGTGCGTAAGCAACTTGAAGCTAAACACAAATAGGATAACGTTATTGGTGCGTGGTCCATGTCAAACAAAACCGCTCAATTAAGCGAGCAGGGGCAATTAAGTCTGCCAACACCGACACCAATACATTATTTACCGATGGAAACTTAGTTGGCTAGAGATCCTCTCGTGACTTAGGTGGGGCTATCGACCGGTGCTCCACCACCGCCTGCGATCGAGTTACGCATTACTATTATGCGTGGTTATTAAAGGCTTTCCCAAGAAGCTCTCTATTGAAACCTCAGCAAGGGAATACATTTAATCAACTATTAATAACCCACCGTCAGTTTGGTGAGTGACACCCGATGATCCCAACTACTCCCATGTGGCTGATAGCTATATGGGTTTATCTATGTATCATAATGTTAATAACAAAATATTTGTTTATTTTAGTTAAGATACAGGTTTAAATTATTGGATTCATTGATGCATTTATAGTTAATTAACAAGTTTGTCACTGAGTAGATTTTGGGCTTTTGTTGCTTGTTGGACTGCTCGGAAGCTTTGTTCGCCTTTAAGTTAAAGGGTGAAGATTAACGTCGAATGCTCATCGAACGTTGCTTGCAGAACCTGCAATCGCGACAAACTCGACACCCCATTAGCAGACTGGGAAGGATGAGTGGTTCATGGGGCGCAAGTTTGGGAGCCTCTTAAGCGCCTCGAGCACGCTAGGTCTTATCGACAGGACGCACAAAGGCCGGAGAGATTTTGCGCCTCGCAGATTTCGAAAGCAAAAGGACAGTGACGACGGAAAGCACGAAGTTAAGCTTCAAGCTACTATAGATGCACGTAATTTTTGACTTTAAAAGCGGATAATTATTCAGGTGATACTGAATTTAATTTTTTTTATTCATTTTAAAAAAAGTTTATGTTGGGATTTTTGTTATTTATTTTTTCTTTCTAGATTTCAAAAAGTACTATGCAATGAAAAATAAAAACACTTCCTCTCTTCCTGCTACGATTGTTCACACAAACACATTTAGTTTACTGCGAAATAAAAAAAAAACAGCAAGAATACGCCCAAGAACACTAAAAAGAAAAGAAAATGGAATAATAATTTTATGAAAAGCCTGGCGCTGCTACTTAACCTTGCACGTAGAGTTTGGTGACTTCCAAGCTTTGCAAACTCATCGCCAAAAGAGTTCTTTAAGTTTTAACCCTTTTCATAAATTTTTATTAGCAGTATGCTTTTATAAACCCGCCGACGGGCACGACCAAGACTATTTCTTTTCATTTCCGGCTCACCACACGAAAAGCGTGCCACAACGCAAAAAGAACCGCAAAAAAACAAGTATTTTATTTTCCGGATAATTGCAATGGCACATAGTTAAGGAATAAAATCTGAAAACTGTTTTCAGAATGTTTTCCTTTCGCAGGAAACCGAGTAAATTGGAGGATTGGAGTTTAATAACTTGATGCATACTTTTCTATTCGCAACGTGAATAATAACGGAGTGTAACTTCCTTCCGTTATAAAATTACTTTCGAGTTGAGTGATAAATAAACCCTAATAATTTTTGTTTCGTTTTTGGCTTTTTATTAGTTTGTTGTTGTTTGAGGAGAAGTCGGTCACGCAAGCACAGCACGAAACTGTTCAGACTTTTTGCTTCTAACTGAATCTATTGATTGCAAGATACATTTTTTCAGTATGTTGAATATCGTAGGCGGGAATCTTGTGTTTTCCTTTGTTCTGAGAAAGTTTTCTCTCGACGTGACTTTTCATGTGGACATCATAAACAAGATGTTCTTATTTTTCTCTTATCTTAGCAAGCAACGACGTAGTAAGAAGCATTATATATTTTTGAGAGGCATCTGTCTGATAACAAGGAATCTTTTGCATATTTTGTGTATTTATTCTCTTTTAAAAAAGTATAAATTCTTGTCGTTGTTGAATCTACAAAACGGTCAGCTGCGTTAGCAAAAATAAATTTAAAGCTTAATTTGTTACTATTTTTAAATGTTTGTTTTTATTTTCTGACATTTTCTGTATTTTCAGCTTTCATGTTTTATTTATGTTAAGTTATTGACAGTTGCATGTTTTGAATGCAAGCAAATCCACTGTAATAGTAAAATAAGAAGATCGAACTGTAAAATCCTAGTACGCAGAAAATAATCTAAAAATAAAAGGATAAAAAACTCTTCAATTTGCATTAACTTTCAACCTTTCCCGATGCTCACATAAATATCTAATACGCTTAAAAGTATTTACTTTGTCAATGTAAATAAAAATCAGTCCTAGTTGGATTTGCTTTTCCTTGGCAAACAGCACTCAATCGACAAGTTTTGCTACCTTTGCCATCCGCTCACCTCATCAGCATTTATCCGCGTCTAGAATTTAATAACTTTGCAACGTGCAGCAGCAGCTTAATATAAATCATTTTATGCAAATGAATGCTTCGTCTTGTTGATCATTAAGGTTCGGTTTACTTTGCTGTGGGTGGGAACCTCACGTTCGGAGAGGCGAGACATTCGCTGCGCAAACATGTCGCGTTTTAACACTATCTAGAAGATCATAATGAACATAAATAACTTGCGAAACAAAACATTGAGATGGCGGTGTATCTGGGGATAAAAGCACTATAAGCCTAAGCAAACTAAATTAAACAATGCTAAAGATAATTGATTGTTGCTCTTCGTGGGAAACAGATTTGATCTTTGGAAATGATAGGAAAAAAATAAGAATAGAAAAAAAAAAACAAGAAAAAAAGGAAATTTTTAAAGTTAAACTTTAAGTATTTTAACTTAATATATATGAAAAAAAAGGGTTTAAAAAAATAAAATGTTTAAATTCATAATTCTCTACAAAAATTCCTTCACAATAATTTTTGTTTCATATTCTTTGTATATCTGTATTGTATAATAGAAATGGTTGAATGTACTTATCAATTTTTGCCAATCGATTCGGCAATTACAAAGATAATTACGATTTCCATTGTTTATGAATATTACATTCACATAGTGACACCATACTTCGACGCCATCTACATGGAAATACTTTACCCATGGTTCTGAAAGCTTTCCAATAACACCAATAAATCCATCATTTAGCTGCACAAAGAGTACGCTACGAATACAAAACCGAATAAATTATTCAAACCATCCGCCTGAAAACTTTTCCTCGGTATCAAACTAACGTCGAAATTGCATTTCAGAACATCGTTAAAGCATTTTTGAAGATCAAATTACGAACGCATGATCAAAACTAATAAAGTTTGTATTCGCGTATGGAAAATACTTGTAATAAAAATGGTTTGAAATATTTATCATCGACATGAAGATGACACAATGATTGATCGCGAACTTGGCTGCTTGCATACACGCTACAGAGAGCACACATTCGTGTTTATCGACAGCCCGTCGAAGACTGTAAGGAAGCGGGGCAAACAAGAAGCAAACAGCACAAATAAGAGCAAAGCTACTGCGATGTTGTAAAAATGAGAGGGTTGGATAGCAGTAATCAATCTTTAGGTTTTGTCTGCATTTTGACGGAGCATTTCCGAGGGGGCAACAAAGCTATTATTACAACACTGATCGTGTTACAGGTGACTATTTATAGTTTCAGATATTAAGGTTTATAAGGAGATAAATTGGGATATTACTCCAATAACGCCAGACAAAATATTTCATCAAAAATGTCTTATGAAATAAATCCTAGTTCAAGTGTTCGAAAAATCAATTAATTGATTTTGTAAAGTTTTCCAAACTTGGATTCCAGCAGTTAGAAACGTTTCCAATCCTATCGTACAAACGAGAAAATTAATTTTACACTTCATTAATTTCCTTATCTTTTTCCGTCCACTGTAAAATAGAATTCATTTCGTT